CTCTACTCTACTACCACTCCTCTAGTACTTCTGAAGTAGCAGTGCTGAAGCCAATGAACAAAGCTGCTGCTGCTGTTTCCTGGGGTCTGTCCAGGCTGCTGGCGCCTCATTTACAGTGTTAAAGCACCGCTGGGTCTACTAGACTCTGCTTCATGGATTGAAAAGATTACCGGTCTCTCCTTATTTCACCTGCAGGGAGGACGCGAGCACACCCCCCGCGGAAGTGGAGCACTGACGATGCCCCAAGCTCCTGATCGCTCCGCCTTCCCGCCAGCTGGAGACCCCCTCGCGCACCCCTGAACCTCCAGAGACCCCATGGAAGCACGTTGCCGCGATCCGATGGCTACGGCCGCGCCGCCGCGGCACTGAGGCCGCCAGTGTTGCACCTCCTTCGAACGCACGGCAGGGCGACCTCTACCGGCGGGCGTGTTTGACGAGGACCGCTCCAGCCAGCTCCCCAGCTCCCCAGCTGTCCCAGCGATCCTTCCCCTATGCCTCCCAGCAGTCTGTCCTACCCAGACACAGAGTGCGCCCCCCTGCAGGCCACTCCCTCCTCGAGTTAGACGAGACACGCCCCCTCACAGGCCCCGCCCTCTTCCCCTGACACGCCCCCCCCACTGTGTGCAGCCCCGCCCACATGGGAGGAGCCTGAGCTCCTGCTCCAGCAAGGCCACAGGAGACACAGCCTCCTCTTCCCTCCTCCAGAGCTGCCACGATGGAGAGCCCCTTCGTCGTGCCCATGATGGGCGCGGGGGACGACGTGATGCCGCGGGACCTCGAGCGGCAGCCGGCGCGGCCCGGCGCGGGGCTCTCGCTGACGGGCTCGTCCCGCCGCAAGCGGGAGTTCATGCCCGACGAGAAGAAGGACGCCAGCTACTGGGAGAAGCGGCGCAAGAACAACGAGGCGGCCAAGCGCTCGCGCGAGAAGCGCCGCGTCAACGACTTCGTGCTGGAGAGCCGGCTGCTGGCGCTGGGCGAGGAGAACGTGCGCCTGCGGGCCGAGCTGCTGGCGCTCAAGCTGCGCTTCGGCCTGCTG